TATCTGGTATGAGCCCCTCTCTCAATATTTTAAAAACAGTTTTATTGGCACATAGGGTACACGCTACCCAATTCAGTAGTTGGATCATACTAACAAGAGTTGCGCAATCCTCACTGCCATCAGTGATTTCCTCCCTGCGTCTGATGCCTCCGAGCCAGGGGCCAGGGAAGAGCAAGTTCAAAGACGAGTGGTTCCGTTTGAAGCCACTGAGAGCTCCTCCCAGAAAGATACAGGTGGCGTAGTTATTGTTGACTGCTTCTCCCACCATCCAGGCAATGACAGACTTCTGGGGGTGGGGGTGGGGGGAGTGGCATGGAGGACGCAGCGTCAGTCAATCCGCTGGTGTTCTTCCTAGAACTGCTCCAGTTCGAACAGTCTGGGCTTCCTCGGAGCTGAGTGTGCGGACCTCCTGGCCCGATGACCGAGATAGCTCAGGTGTCAGGACACGGGAGGGCTTTGGAAAGGACTGTCAGCACTTCAGAAGCAGATGCCAGGTCTCCAGGTCTTGATTCCCGGGGTTGGGCTCCGAGGCTGCCTTCTGTCTGCACACGCTGGCTTCGCTGCCATCCAGGGCCACCTTGACTCGCTGCCTGGTGTGGCCGCTCTTGGCTGCCCTTCTCCCTGCAGGGCTGGATCCTGCTGGGCCTATGTTCGAAGGCGTGGACATCCACAAGAGGCTCTCCCCAGACGACGCAGACTTTGTGGATGTCCTCCACACCTACACGCCCTCCTTCGGCTTGAGCATCGGCATCCAGATGCCCATAGGCCACATCGACATCTACCCCAATGGAGGCGACTTTCAGCCAGGCTGCGGGCTCAACGACATCTTGGGGTCGATTGCATTCGGAAGTGAGTTCCTTCTTCTCTGCTGCATGGGGGGCGGGGGGGGTGCCGGTGTTCGGTCCAGTGCGCCCTCTCTTCCAGCAGCCAGAGCAGCGACGCTTCAACAGCACACATTTCAGTCCTTCTCCCCGCTTCCCTCCCACCCAATGGCTCTCAGACATTGCGTTGAAAGCTCCCCACCATCCTGCAGGCCTGCGCATAGCCATCTTGTGGTCTTCACTCTGCTTGCTCATGCTTGAATTCCATAATTGTTATTGACTGTTATCTTGTTCATGATAAGATGCAAAACATCAAGCAATATAGAAGTGCATAAAGCAGAGTCACCTCCTCACCCTTCCCAATTTTTGCTCCTGAAAGTTAGTCTGTATGACTAATTTTGGGTATATCCCTCTAGCCTTTTTTCTTTCTTATTTATGTACGTGCATGGTTGCACTGTCAGGTAAGCATTGGACTGCTAGCCACAAGATTGGTGGTTCTAACCCGCCGGCTGCTCTTCAGGAGAAAGTTGGGGCTCTCTGTACCTAGCAAGAACTACATCCTTGGAAACCCTCCAGAGCAGCGGTTCTCAACCTGTGGGTTGCGACCCCTTTGGAGATCAAATGACCTTTTCACAGGGGTCGCCTGATTCATAACAGTAGCAAAATGACAGTGATGAAGTAGCAACGAAAATAGTTTTATGGTGGGGGGGTCACCACCACGAGGACCTGTATGAAAGGGTCGCGGCATCAGGAAGGCTGAGAACCACTGTTCTAAAGGGCTGCTATGAGTTGGAATTAACATCAGAGCAGTGTTTTAGTGTTTTTGGCTTCTTGCTTTTTCAAATCACCGTGTTCTACAACTTTCTTCTTCTTTGTTTTGGCTCTAAGATATGGCACTCTCACACATCAGGGCGCCTAGGCTTAGCAACCCTCTTTTAGACTACGTGCTATGTCACAGCGCGGACAGGCTATCATTACATTCCCGACTCGTGCTCTAAAGAATTGAAACAAGGTGTTTCCTCTATTCAGTTATAATTATGTGCTGAACGCCCAGGCGGACTTGGGATGAAGTGACTTGCTGTTGAAACCGAGGTGTCCCTCCAGGTGACCGATCCCTTGTGGGGTCACCACCTGGGAGCCCGGCAGCATTCCCTCATGGGATCTCTCCGCTCTGCTGCTCTGCCCTTTGGCTGCCCCATCTCTGCCCCCTGGGTGAGGAAGGTGTGGGATGATGGCTTTTCTGGAAGCTGGTGGTACCAGTGAAGAAGGAGTAGGATTTGTTTGGCCAATTTTTTCCCTTAAGGTCCCAGAATTTACATAAAACATTGGCCTGAGTCTCTGGCTACTAGAAACACAGATGACCCAACAGGCCCATTGTCCGCATGTCCACTCTGACTCACAGAGACCCTACAGGACAGAGTTGAGTGCCCCCATAGGTTTTCCATCGCTGCTGGGCTCCCATACCTGGGTTTTCAGTTGGCAGCCAAGGGCTGTAGACACTGTTCCCCGGGTTCCTTAATGATGTACCTGGGGCCCCCAAATCCAACTTACCTTCCCAAAATCCAACTTACCTTCCCAAGGTACAGACAGCATCAGATGTCTGGCCCTTAGAAGATCACCTCACCGCGATAGACCCCTAGGCTTTAATGGATATTTGAAGGGATTGGACTAGAAGGGGCCTAGCAGACACTCCCTCAGAGGATCAGAGAGTATTTAAGGCTTAGCAGGCCATAGAGTCTGTTTCTACTCCCCCATCCTACTGCACAGAAACAGCCCCAGAAAATCCATAAGCAAATGAGCATGACCTATCTTCCAATACAACTTTAGTTACCAAAATAGATGGTGTAGCCTGTAGGCTGCAGTTTGCTGGTCCACACCAGGCGGTGTTTGGCACCTGGCCCATTTCTAGTATTTCATGAAGGTCCGACTCTAATCAAGACTAAGTGAGTTAGGATCCCTACTGCACACCGGGCCTGCATCACCGGTTTAGCACATAGTATGCAGGCTCTAGAAGAGCCCTACAGGAGCCCTGGTGGAGTAGTGGTTACGAGTTACGCTGCAAGTTCAGCAGTTCAAAACTACCAGCCAGCTCCGAGGGAGCAAGAAGAGGCTTTCTACTCCAGTTACAGTCTCAAAAACTTATAGGGGACAGTTCTACACTGTCCTATAGAGTCGCTATGAGTCAGAATTGACTCGATGGCAGTGAGTTTGACAAGAACCCTAGTGGTGTAGTGGGCTAGTTGTTGGGAGGTTAACCCCAAGGACAGCACTTTGAACCCCACCCCCCCAGCCACTCTGTGGGAGAAAGATGAAGCTTTCTACTCTCATAAAGAGTTACAGTCTCGGAAACTCACAGGGGCAGTTCTACTCTGTCCTACAGGGTCACCATGAGTCGGCATTGACCCGAGGGCTGAGGAAGGAAAGGAGAGGGTGCACTCTCTCCCCCCCCCTCTGCTTTGTTTTGTGTGCATGTTACAGCTCTGTTGTGTGTGTTTACTGCTGTATTGTGTTGTGTTTGTGCGTGACTGCTGTGGTGTGTGTGTTACTGCTGTATTGTGTTTGTGTATTACTGCTGTGTTGTGTGTGTTTACTGCTGTATTGTGTTGTGTTTGTGCATGACTTCTGTGTTGTGTGTGTATTACTGCCGTGTTGCCACCTGGAGAGTAAGTGGGCAAGTGCTGGGCGCCTAGCACAGCAGTGCGTGGTGGCCATGTGTTAAGGACACACTCACGGATGCTAACATCAGTGACAATGGCGACCGCAGTCTGCCATTGCTTAGGGGACACTGGGCTCCTGTGACTGGAGGCGGAACGATTTGGTGGCTGCTGTAGAATATGACAAACACAAGTGATGCCACCAAATTGTAGAGAGTTGAATCGGCAAATGTTTTCTTTTTCTTTGAGATGAACTTGTTTGTCAGGAAAGACTCCGCATCCTTTTCCTGCACGTAATCTCACTTTCCTATCTACCTATCATCTATCTATCTATCTATCTATCTATCTATCTATCTATCTATCTATCTATCTATCTATCTATCTATCTATCTATCATCTCTCTCTCTCTCTGTGTATGTATGTGTATTTTCAGCCCCTCACACCACTATTTAGGTTTGAGGCCTAAGGAATCTGCTGCGATTTGTTTGGTCTTAAAGAAATACACTGTATATATTTACACAGCCCTCTGAAGAAATGAGACCAGCAACACGATAGGTGGGTCTTTTGACTCCCCTGGCCCATCCTCCTTCCCTTCCTGTCCCCTGTTTTCCTAACCGTCTTTTCACCACAATACTAAAACCAAACGAGCTCTCGCTGAACAGCCAGACACACAGCGTGGCTGGACGGACGAGGCGGCCGTGAGTGGGGGGCCGCTGCTCACCCTTGCCGCCCCCCCTCCCCAGCCCTCTCGGAGGTGATGAAGTGTGAGCACGAACGGGCTGTGCACCTCTTTGTCGACTCACTGGTGAACCAGGACCAGCCAAGCTTCGCGTTCCAGTGTACGGACTCGAACCGGTTCAAAAGGGGCATCTGCCTCAGCTGTCGGAAGAACCGCTGTAACAGCATTGGCTACAATGCCAAGAAAACCAGGAACAAGAGGAACAGTAAAATGTACCTGAAAACCCGAGCGGGCATGCCTTTCAGAGGTAAACTCCAGTCTGCAAAGTGTCCTCAAGGGAGGTCCCTGGTCCTGGTCCTCCACGGCACCCTGTGGAAGGAGCCCGGGCTGTGCAGTGGCTTCAGGTCAGCGGCGGGTGCGAGAAAGATGGGGCAAGCTGCTTCCGTAGAGATTTGTAGCCTCACAGAGCCATGGGGGTGGTGCTACTCTGTGCTGTTAGATCAGGGTGAGTCAGAATCCACTTCACGGCTGTGAGTGGGTCATGGGCAATCCCACCTCAGCCCGAGGGAGTAGCTCGCACAGTGACAGCCCAATGCAAACCCCACTGTGTTGCACACGCCCCGAGACGTGTCAATGCTTAAAATAAGTGCTGGGGACCTATGCTGTGACGTGAATCAGGGCTCTGCGCTCACAGGATCGGCATCTTACATTTTGCACTTGATTCTTCAAAGCCGTTTCATAGCTGCATTTCATGCCCTCATTACCCTAACTTGGAGGGAGGGAGGGAGGGAGGGGATGGAAATGACGTCTTCAACTCTCGTGACACGTTCTAAAGCCACCAAGTTTGGGGATCTGATTTGATGTCGGAGCAAGTTGTGGCTCAGAGAGGTAGTCCCTTGGCCCTCAGTCTAAGCTCAGGCAGAGACGGTGGCCCTGGCAAAATCCCCAAACTGCTCTTGACCCCTTAGTCCAGGGCCCCTCCTGTCCCGCAAAGAGGTCTTGGGCCATGGGGCAGAATGGACCCTGAGGGTGGCTGGAGATTGTGCCACACCAGAAGGACCACACTCTCAAAGCTCACTGCCGTTGAGTCGATGCCGACTCACAGTGACCCCAGAGGACAGGGTAGAACTGCCCCTGTGGGTTTTTGAGACAGAAACTCTTGACGGGAGCAGACAGCCCCATCTTTACCTCGAACTGCAGACCATTAGTTGCCCAATGGGTAGCCATCAGTCAGTCTTTAAGTTTTCCGTGTGCTGGTGACAAGCAAGACCCATGCGTGTTTGGTCTGATTTCCCTGCAGTGTACCATTACCAGATGAAAGTTCACATCTTCAGCTACGTGCAAAAAGGGAAAATCCAGCCCACCTTTTTTGTCACCCTGTACGGCACCAATGCAGATTCCCAGACGCTGTCTTTGGAGATGTGAGTGGCCCTTTACTTTGCTGGGTGCAGGATGGAGAGGGTGCAGGTGTGGGGACCAGAGAGGGTGGGAGAGCTGCCAGCAAGCACAGGAGAGGGTGGTACCGGCGCCTGGGGAGGAGCTGGGTGGGTCCTGCAAGAGCTCACCTAGCCCCTGACTCATCATTTCTGGGTGGGAGGCTCCATGGTGACTCAGCGGTCAGGGAAGCGGCTGGGATCAAGTGGGAACTGGGAACTTCATTACCCTCGCTGGATATTTTCTGATGCTCTGGCAGTGGGGAGGGTCCAAAGGAGTCGCTGTTTACTTGTTGAATGCCCACAAGCCAATTCACATTGGGCTCGGAGGAGCTGTCCCCCCTGTACCTTCTTTTCCTGACCCTCAGACTCTGGGTCCAGTAGGGAGGTCACAGGTGGGCTCGTGCACTCACGCATGGGGCGAGGCAGGCCATGCCCAGGCTTTAGTGTGAGGGGCAGCAGGGAGCAGGGCTGCCGAGGTGAGCTTTGCGCAACCTGGTCTCGTGGGCGCTGACTTCTGCGTGGCTCTCGTGGCTGTTCTCTTGGTCCTGCCCCCCAGGCAGTAGCCCAAATGGGAGGTGTGCAGGGACGGTGGGGAGAAGGAGCTGGGGAGCTGTGGGTGCTTTCCTCTCTGTCAGCAGGGCACTCTCGAGCTCCCACCCTGGGCCTGCTGGTGGAAGGCCCGAGTGGGGTAGGGTGGGGGCACCTCATGGCCTCACCCACGTGGTTTGGTCATTTCAGGCTGTGAGACGAGCCCTCTCTTCCCTTGCAGCATGGAGGAGATTGGCCTGAATGCCACCAACACCTTCCTGGTCTACACAGAGGAGGACTTGGGGGACCTCTTGAAGATCAAACTCACCTGGGAGGGCACCTCTCAGTCCTGGTTCAACCTGTGGAAGGAGCTGCGCACTTACCTGTCTCAACCGCGCAACCCCTCTCGGGAGCTGACGATCAGACGGATCCGGGTCAAGTCCGGGGAAACTCAGCGGAAGTAAGTGCCCTGTGACCCTGCTCTCACCTCCCGGAAGCAAGCCCTGGCCTTGTCAGCATTTGCCCAGAACACACCTGCCAGTCTTGAACACTGGGGCAGGGCGACCATGAACTGTTGGGCGGCTCCTGCCCGGATCACAGAGCCTCGGCCCAGAGGGGCGGGGAAGTCCTAGCCCACTGGCACTGAGCACATTCCAGCTGACTGTGACCTTGTGGGGCCAAGGCTTTCCAAGGCTGCTGTCCTTACAGGGGGCTCTGGTGGCTTCGTGCTTATGCGTTGGGCTGCTCACTGCAAGGTCAGCAGTTTGAAACCACCGGCCTCTCCGAGGAGGGGGAATGATGAGACCTTTGACTTCGGTGAAGAGTTACAGTCTCAGAAATCCACAGGGCAGTTCGACCCCATCCCCTAGGACAGGTCTCTGAGTCAGCATGGACTGGATGGCAGAGAGGGAGGGATCTTTACAGAAGCATGCTGCCAAGTCTTTGTGGAAGGTTTGACCATTGACCTTTGGTTAGCAGTGGGGTGCTGAACCACTGCGCCACCAGGCTGACTTACGGCCCTTGTTCTCTTTGCTGAGCTGGGGGGCTGGACAGGTGTGCCACCCCATGGATCCGTTCCCCCTCGGGGGGCCATCTGATCAAAAGGCCTTGTTTGCTTGTCCCAAGAGCCCCAGCTTGTACTGGCTACTTGGGTCTATGGGAGGATGTGGTTTCCCCAAGGGCGTTATTATATCCTTCAGGGGCTTGGAGGCAAGGATGTGGGGCTGGGAGCCTACTTTCAAGTCACAGAGACTCCTCTGTCCCATGCCAGCTGGCAGCTTTCCTCTGCCTGGCGTGAAAGAGCAGACCTTCATATATCAGTCCTTGGGCCCAGGCGGGACTGGGAAGGCTGCTTTCTTAGGAGGCACCAGGGAAGGCACAGAGCCAGGCCCGCTGGGAGACCTTGGCCAAGAGAGGAGGCTCTCTCTCCTCCGCCGAGGGCTTCCAGAGGTCACCACTAGCCTTGGGAAGTGAGCATGCAGCAGCCCCCAACCTCTTTGTACCTGGCTGGCCCTTTCTCCTTGACCATTCTTCCTGAGTCTGGGGCACATCCATCATCAATGACAAGCCTGCCAGCAGAGGGAGGGCCCCCAGTAGGGCCACCCCCCCTCCGAGTCCCTAGCTGAGTGGTATGTCTGAAACGTATGTGTCAGATGGGGGGAGCTGTGAGGACCACTGGGCATCTTTTCATGACTCTTGGCTCTGTGGGTGGGTTGCCAGAAGGGTGGTGGTTTTTATACACTGTCCCAAGCATAATACACACCTCATGAAGCAGTAACAAATAGAAGCACTCTGCAGTATTGGTGTTAAACAAGAGGCTTTGAAAAAGTGAGACATGGCACACACAGCAAAAGCCGCTTGGGGCCCCATCCTTGTCACGGTCCTCGCTCTCTGTCACATCAGACGCAACCCGCACCCTGACGCGAGTGGGGCTGTACTCTTAGTTCTGCTGCTTGATGAGTCCCTGCAAGGTACAGGGAAGCACTTGGCTACCAGCTGAAAGGTGGGTGGTTCAAGTTCACCTAGATGTGGCTCGGAAGAGAGGTCTTAGCCAAAGATAGACCTTTCCCAAAGGTCACCACCTTGAAAACCCTCTGGGGTGGTTCTACTTTGTGCACCCAGGGTGGCCCGAGGCAAAACCCACTGGAAGACAATGAATAGAAACCACAATTTCTGTTCACATCTCTAAACAAAGTCTAGAATGGCTTTGAAGTCACCCTCGTGGTGTTGTGGGCTACACATTGGGCCAATAGCTACAAGGTCAGCTGTTCACAACCACCAGCCACCCAGAAGGAGAAAGATGAGGCTTTCTGCTTCCATAAAGAGTTACAGTCTCTCAGTTCTACAGGGCAGAACTCGACTCGATGGCAGTGGGTTTTTAAGTCATGACTTTAGATGCTTCTGAACTTCAGATGAAAGGACGTTTCATTTCCCAAGTCACCTTTGTCCATTTTCATGCAAGAGTGTTTTTCCAAATACAAAGCCACGGGGCTTATTCTGTCAACTCCAGCCTGCACATCTTCGTGGTACGGGAAAATTATGGTTTTGTCTTCCTTCTGGGGAACAGTAAAGCTGATTCTACTTTTTGGGGGAGTTACAAAGTGTGCTCAGTGCTGACATGAACCTTCTGGAATGTTTCCCTTGTGGGTATATATCTGGGGGCTTCTTTGTCGGGGGATGTATACCCCAAAACTGCACTTGCTGGGTTATCCCCGTGGCCAGTCACTCGGCTGCGAAGGTCAGTCAGCAGTTTGAATCCTACAGAGGCTCCTCTGGCCATCGGCCTGGCAGCCTGCTTACGTAGAGGCTTATAGCCTTGGGAACCCCATGCGGCAGCGCTGCTCCGTGCTGCAGGTCACTGTGTGTTGGAATCGCCTTGGCAGAGTGGGTAGTTTGGGTCACCTATGTTCTGACGGGACTACAGTGGCTGTCGAGTAGATCCTTGCTTTCACCCGCACCTGCTCTCATTGGGGTCTCCATGGTTGTGATGGCTCAGAAGGAGGGACACCTCTGGGTGGGCTCAAACTGCCAACCTTTGTGGTCAGTAGCTGAGCATTTAGCTGTGGTCTCATCCAGACCCTCCTCCAACTTGTCTAGCTTTTCTTCCTTCTAGTGCTCATTCATTGTTAGCTCCCCATTTCCCTCCAACCTCCTCTTCCGTATCCCCCATAACCATTCACCCAGTTACTGTCTCTGTAGATCTACCTATCCTAGATTTTATATACTGGAAAGCACACTTTTTTTTTTAAAAAAAGGCACCAAAAAAAGACCAACAATATCAAAATAAACCAGAGGGGAAACCTGAATTGAGGAAAATAGCTGGAAATGTTAAAGACTAGAACAAGTTTAAGATTGGTCAAAAGGGAGATCCAACAATGTGAGTTTTCATTTTACCCTAGTTCCATCTGCCACCATCAGGCCTACAACACTCTGTGTGATAGCGAGGCTGTTCCCAGCCCTGGGCTGCAGTCTCAGATGTTCCATTCTCCTGGGTGTGAATTAGTCTCCTGCTATTGGCTAATTCGGATTTCCTGATTTTGAGTGAGGTTGTCACCTCTTTATATACTTCATTGGGCTTCGTGGGAATGGGTCTTAGAGCTGTTCTGAAGGTGACTTTTGTCAGGCAGTCAGCACCAAGGTCAGGCACTCACCTGTTTATCGGTCAGCTGCTCAGCCCGCTGAGGTGAGGAACTTGGCCTTAGTTATAATTCCATCCAGTGTTAGTCCCTTGATGATTTCTGGTGATCTTGGTGCTCTGTCTGCCAAATGTGTTAGTCTGACTTGCAGCTGAGCTCCAGTTAATCTTATCAGTTCGTATTTAGAGAGCTCCAGAGTTGCTAACCACAAGGCTAACCAGAGATTCAAATCCACCAGCTGCTCCTTAGGAGCCAGATGAGGTTGTCTGCTCCGGTAAAGATTCAAAGTCTTGAAAACCCAAAGAGGCAGTTCTACTCTGTCCTGTGGGGTCCCCCTGAGTCGGAATCAATTCTATGGCAACGAATCGGTTCTAAGTAGGAGTTCCTGGGTGGTACAATAGTTACAATTCAGTGGCTCAACCAAAAGTTGGAGGTTTAAATCACCAAGAGTCATCTCAAAAGAGAGGCCAGTTGATCTACTTCTGTAAAGCCAGCTACTGAAACCCTATGGATACATGAGGCCACTGTGAGTCAGAAGCAACTGTAGAGCAAGGGTTTTATAGTACAGAAGGAACTTGTGTCTTATATATAGTGCAGAGGTGACTTGTGTTATGTATGAATATAGTGCAGAGGTGACTTTTGTTATGTATGAATATAGTGCAGATATAACTTGTGTGCCTGCATTGGGGGGGGTGTGTCTGGTTAAGGGAGGTGTTAGCCACAGACAGGAATCAATAAGCATTGGAAGGTGATGTGTGATATTTTAAATTAAAACAAAACATTCATTATTATAACTCTATGCCGTAAGCCTCTCTCTTCCTCTCTCACTGCCATCGAAACATGCAGACTCATAGCGACCTTGTAGGACAGGGTGGAACTGCCCCTGTGGGTTTCTACAGACGACTGTTTACGGGAGAAGAAGCCTCGTCTTTCTCCTGAGGAGTGGCTGGTGCTGTGAACCTCAGACTTTGCAGATCGCAGCCCAAGACATAACCACGATGTTACAGGACCATAAGTAGTTACAATAATAACAAAAATGCTATTATTATAAGGACACCCTTTTTTATTAAATCGAGAGGTTTGGAATGGGGTCAGATTCAGGAGGCTACAGAGGGACTCTAACTTTTAAATACACAGGCAGCCCTTTGGCTGGACAGAGGGGAGCAGGTAGAAGAGGCATGTGTGAGGGCTGCCTGAGGCTGAACTCTGGGAGACTTGGCAGGGAGACCACTGGGTCCTGTGGGGGTGATGGGATCTCTGTAGTCCCTAAATCGGGGTGGTCGCCTACGCCAATCAGGGAGGTGCTGTCGGGCTGATGCCCAGCCCCCTGGACTTCCAGCTGCATCGGCGGTTTCTGATTCCTCCTAGATTGACCTTCTGTGTGGAAGACCCTGAGAACGCCATCATAGCCCCTGGGCAGGACCTCTGGTTTCACAAGTGTCGTGATGGCTGGAGGCTGAAAAACGAGACCAGGTAACCAGGGAGTGCCTGTGCTTCACTTGGGTCATGTTGCTGATCCCCCATCCCTATGTGCTGGGCATGGTCTGGGCAGCAGGGATATATGGCAATGGACCACACACACCAATGCCTCCTCCCTTTCAGAGCTGCCCTCCTGTTGGAGGGAAAGAGACAAAGGAACCAGTACCTACACAGGAGGCCAGGGGTGGTACTGTGCCCTCCCCCTGCCTCCCCACCCCCTGCCACCCTGGAGGTATTGGAATGGGGCCTTTCCAGGGACTAAGTACCCGTGGCTGGTCACCATGCTCCCTGTCTTAGAGGACAGTCTACCAGAGACCAGGGCTGGGGGAAGGCTCCCTGTGGGCACCGTGTTGGCATGGGTGGGAGGTCAAGGAGCAGCGCAAGGTCTGCTCCCTTCCCGCACAGTTTAGGCATTTGGGAACTTTAGAGCGAGGGTTCAGTTCTCCCCCTTCGGAGCAGCAGGAAGCTCATGCACATGGCGCTCAGTTAGACAAAGGAGCTGTCTTGCTCCACTGAGCCATTGCCTCGTGCTGGAAGGCCATCCTTCCAGAGTCGAGGGGGGTCGTCTCATGGCAAGAGGCATCGGGCTCTACCAAGAGGGGAACCCATTCTGTGCCCCTCTGAACCCCAAACACCTGCTGAGGGGGAGGGAGACAGACCACCCTGCCCTCCAACCTGACCCCACCCTGGCCATGTGCTGAGCCCTCTGTGTATACCTGCCCCGTGTTCCCTTTATTATCAAGCCCAGGGGGCAAGTGTTGTTATCCCTGTGTACAGATGAGGAAACTGAGGCTCGGGGAGGGAGTCGCCCAGCTAGTGTTGGCGAGGCCAGGACCTGAAGAGGTGGGTCTCGCTCAGAGCTGAGGTTCCTGTGGCTCAGAGAAGTCACGCCACCCAGCCTGGGTATCAATCACCGAGCAGCTATGCCCAGGCTCTGGGGTCCCCTGTGTTTAAACGTCTGCCAAGCCTGGGGCCCAGCCGATCCACAGCTGTTGGCCATTCGACCGCAAGCTCAGTAAATGAAAGGCCTCGCGGGCTTCCGAGAGCTGCCTATCTCATTAAGTGACTCAGACTGGCGTGGGCTCGTATGATTTCCAGATGTAATAATGATTTTTACTTCTTTCGGTTTGTATGCCGATGCATGACTTTTAAAGTTTCTGGAGCCGCTGGTGGTGCAGTGATTAAGGGCTCTGCTATGCACCAGAAGGTCAGTGGTTCGAACCCACCAGCCCCTCAGTGGGGGAAAGATGTGGCAGTCTGTTCCCATAAAGATGTACAGCCTGGGGACGGCTGTGGTGCAGTTCCACTCTGCCCCAGAGAGTCCGCTATCAGGCAGAACGGACGGGGCAGCAGTGGGTTTGCATTTTCAATTGGGTAGGCTCTTCCTCATGCTGATCCCACCCATAGGCTTCCAAATGCACTACCCTCCTGAGGCTCTGCGGTGCTCAGAGTAGAGGCACCTCTGGGCGGGTTCAGACTGCCAACCTGATGGTCAGTAGCCAAGCACAGACCCTCCTTCAACTTGACTACAAAATCCAAACAGCAAACTCACTGCCCTGGAGTTTATTTCAACTCCCAGGGACCCTGTGGGACAGAGGAGAACTGCCCCGGGGCTTCCCCAAACTAGAACTCTTGACGGGAAGCGGAAGCCTCCTCCTTCTCCCAAGGAGGGCTGGCGGTTTTGAATGACCACCCTTGCGGCGAGCAGCCCGGTGGGTCACCCACTAGCTTTTGTTCAATCCCCCTCCGAAAACTCCGGGTCAATCCTCAGGATGCGTTGAACGCGTGCTGGAAGGATCGCTAGGATCAGCTGATAAGGCATGCTGCTCTTTTATACCGATCCAGCACTTCGAACCCCTGAGAACTACATAATCTACCTCATCTTAGGGGGGGAAAACCCCACCCCATCCCGTCTCTTCAAAGAGATGGAAAACAACAGGCGCCCGGGCAGCAACCCTAGACACCTGTAGAGGTTTCCGCCTTCCTGATCACGGTGCTCCACCTGGCCTCTGACAAGGAAACAGAGCTCCGAGAGGCTGACGGCACCTTCGTGGAGCTGAGACCATAGCGTCTAGGTTTCTCGACTCTCCTTGCCTGCTTCCTGCTGTGCTAGACTCTCTTTCATAGGATCAGGCAGAGAGGTTACTGGTAGTTCTCCGTGTGCGTGCGTGTGTGTGCACTCTCACAGGTACCTGTATGACTGTTGGGGGCCGGGGGTTGTGGGAAGCATGTTGGGTACAGACCGTGGAGGACGGAAGCTGAGACCCCAGAGAAGGGACTCCAGTACTGTACTTCTCAAAGTGAGTCTCTGGCTCTTTGAGCGAGGGGGAGAGAGCAGGCTTCTAGACCTTTCCCATGTGTTCTATAGGGAAGAGAGTAGAATCACCCTACGGGGTGGGGGGGTGGTGGTGGTGGGGGAGAAAGCTTGGTCCTGAGGTAACTGCCTCCCTGCTCCTCCATGGCCCAGTGAGCGGAGGAGCCTCACCCTCTCACATGCTTCCTTTCAGCCCCGCAGTGGAGCTTCACTGAAGGCGCCAGGTCCCGCCACCTTCCACGCACATGGAGAAAAGTTACTGCTGGGGACCCACCGATAGGATGACCCCTCTCAGCCTTGGCCCAGAGCTCCGGGAAGGACTTGCTCTCTGGACCCAGGCCTTTGCCTCCTGTGACGGCTGGGACTTCTCGCTGGAGGGGACTGCCTACCGCTGTAGCACCTGCTGTGGCCCTACAATTGCTCTAACTCCAACCCTCTGATGGTGCCTCCTGGAGCCGCGTGTCTCGCTCGTGTGGACACTCAGGGCCTCTCATGCCCTTGGGGCTGGCGTCTCCATTCTAGATGAGCCAGTGCTTTGATGGATTAGGAGCGCTGGCTCTGTTATGGCTCTGTGCACTGCTGGACCTGACTTTCGCCTTTAGAAGAGGTCTTCCTGACTTTGAACCTGCTGCCTTATCTAGCCAGAGAGGAGAGAGTGACTCTGGGGCCGGTGCAGATGCTCCGGCTGGGGCTCTGATGGCTTCCTTGGCCGACCCTGGTTACATCTTAGATAGGCTGTCCTGCTTCCCATCTCTCTTAAGCACAAACCATTGGCCTTCTTCATGTGTCCATTGTTCATGTTTGATTTGGATTGAGCCAGCACTTACCAAACATGTAAACTTAAGTCCTATGAGGCAGGAGACACAGTACTAAACCTCACCAGACTTTGTCTCCTCCGAATGGAGCCCTGGTGGTGGAGTGGTTACCCACTGAGCTGCTCACCACGAGGTCAGTACTTTGAAACCAGCAGTCTCCGTGGGAGAAAGAGGAGGCTTTCCACTCCCATAAAGAGTTTCACTCTTGAAAGCCCCAAGGGGGCAGCTCTACCCTGATGGCAGTGAGTTTGCTTTGGGGTTTTTTTTGAAGCCTGCTGGGATTGAGATTTGTAGAAACTTCAGTTCTGACAGCCCACGAGCATGTGAGGAAAGACACAGAGGGCCCTGGGGGTGGGTTACAGGATAAGAAAGCCAGGGGCCCTGAGGTGCTACTGCTTCAGAGCTGACATGCTGCCATTTCCCCTACAAGCGGCACGTGTAATCACCACCAGAGTAGCAGGCTGCGCAGCTGACAGAAATAGTGGCCAATGGCCGGCTATGGCTGCTTTAGAGAGAACGCTTTTGGGTTCCTAGACGCTACTGCATCTGTTATGCTCACCTGTTTACTCAGAAACCAGTGCCTGTCATGCAGAGCTGGGTCAAAGATTCCAAACGTGCTTTTATTGCCGAAAAGATCTTGTTTTAACCCTGGTGCCTTTTTGGTGTTGGATTCAGGTTTTGGATTCATACATGTAGTGTCTAAGGAATCATTTTATACTTTCAAGAAGATTGGGGTGTGCGTCTCCTAATTTGAATTTCACAGTCTGAGGTGAGCAAGGCAGCGGTCATCTTGTCCTATTTCACAGAACTAAGATTTGGTGACTGTTAGCCACCCCGAGCTGGCGGCCGAGCCAGGCTGAGGATCCAGTGTGCTCATCTCTGAGGCTCAGGAAAACTTCTGAAACCAGCTGCTGCCCACATGCCTGCGGTGGCTAGGGTTTTGTGTCAACTTGGCTGTACCATGAGTCTCAGGGGTTTGGCAGTTATGCAATGATGTAATTTGGCAGTTATGAATTGAGATCATCTTCAATAATGTCATCGAATGTGATCAATCAATTGTAAGGGGAGTTTTGCTGAGGGTGTAGCCTGTAGCATATATATATGTATACACACACACACACATGTCTGGCAAAGCTCACTAACTAGCTCTGGATCCCGCATTTGACTGGCCTCTAATTTTAAGGGCTCATCAGTAAATTTGTATCCTGAGAGCCAGCAGCCTGTCATCTGACCTGCTGATATTGGATTCCTTAGTTTTTGCAGCTACCAGAGTCAAGCGATCCCCCAACCTGATGCTTGGTTCATGGACTTGAAACTTGCCAACCACATGAGTCATTTACTTGAGATGACTCTCTCTCTCTCTCTCTGTACATACTCAGCATATCTTAAGTTGAAAGAATTGAAGACAATATTCAAGCCTCACGTTTCCACAGTGATGTAGTCCATGGGCAAGATATCAGACTGTGCAGGAAGCCTCCAAAGAAGACAGAGCGCACAGTCCCCAGGGTGCTACCCAAAAAGAATGAGCCGACTTCCAACCATTTCAAGAAGTAGCATGTGATCAAGAACCAGTGGCATTACTGGAAGAAGCCCAAGCTGCATTGAAGGAATGAGAGGAAAACAGGGCTCCAGGGATTGCTGAAATCTCATTTGAAATGTTTCAACAAGCTGATAAAGCACTGGGATCACTCACTCAACTAAGAAATGTGGATGACAGCTAACTGACCGGAAGAGATCTGTTTGTGTGCCCGTTTCAAAGAAAGATGACCCAACAGAACTAGCAAGTTATAGAGCAATCGCATATGCAAGCAAAATTTTGCTGAAGATAAACAAATGGTTGCACCAGAGTCTTGGCGGGGAGCTGCCAGAAATCCGAGCTGTATTTCGACAAGGACATCGCTTGAGGGGAATCACTGATGATGTCAGGTGGATCGTCGCTGAAAGCCAAAAGAACATCGGAAAGGTGTTTACTTGCATTTTCTTGACTATGCAAAGGCATTCAACTGTGTGGACCATAATAAGCTATGCATAGCTTGAGAAGAACGGGAAGTCCAGATCTCTCATGCTCATGCAGAGTTTGTGCTTGGACCGGGAAGCATCAGCTTGAACAGAGCAAAGGCTGCTGCTTGCTTTAAGATCAGGAAAGGTGTGTGAGGATTGTATCCTTTTGCCATACTTATTCAATCTATATGCTGAGCAAATAATCCAAGAAGGACTATATCAAGAAGAGTGTGGCATCAGGATGGGAGGAAGGGTTATTAACAACCTGTTAAAGCAGATGGCATAAACTTGCCCGCCGAAAGTGAGGAGAGCTTGAAGCACTTGCTGTTGAAATGCAAAGACTGCAGCTTTCAGTCTGGATCACAACTCAATGTACAGAGAACAACCCTCAGGAACGACAGAGAAATGATTGAAGGTGTGATGGATTTCATCTTGCTTGGATCCATAATCAGTGCTCATGAGCGCAGTAAAGAAATCAAATCACAGATTGCATCAGGTGGATCTGCTACCCAAGGCCTCCTTAGGGTGCTGAAGAACAAGAACATCACTCTGAGGACTAAGATGTGCTCAAGCCAGGCTATTTTCAAATGCCATATATACACTGGAAAGTTGGACCTTGAGTAAGGGAGACCACAGTACGATCGGTGCATTCGAGTGGTGGTGTTGGTGAAGGAAATGGAAAGTACCACAAACTGCAGAACAACAAGAAGTATCGTCAGAATGGTCCCGAGAAGAGAGGATGGTGAGACTTCATCTCACTTACCTTGGCCGTATGATCGACATAGACCATTCCCTGGAAAAGGACATCAAATTTGGTAACACACAGAACTCTCACTCACTGCCATCCAGTTGATTCTTACTCTGAGCGACCTTACAGGACAGGTGTAGAAAGCTTTCTGCACAGGTGTAGAAAGCTCCCCCTTTCTCCTGCAGAGCATCCGGTCATTTCAAACTGCTGACCTTGCATTTGTGACTCAATGCGTAGTAACCTTTACACCACCAAAGACCAGGAGGAAGGCCCTCCAGGAGATGGACCGACACCGTGGCTGCCACAATGGACTCCCATGTAACCCGTGTGTGTTACTCACCGTGGGAGGAGCATGCAGAACCCAGTGGCACTTTGTTCTGTTGTACATTGGGCTGCTCTGAGCTGGAACCACCTCGGCAGCACTCTGCAGCAACATTTGTACTCAAGGTGTGCTGGGTTTGCGCCTCTAGAGAATCCAGCCTGAGTTGGTGCCCCATCGTGACAGTTTTTTCTGAGTCAGTGATAACATGTTTCTGGCAGTGTCTAACCAGGAGCGAGCCTGTGCCTCGGGAGCAGCTGTCTACGGGTGAGATTTGCTTGGGAGGAGGCGCCACAGCCAGGCGGGGGGGTGGGGGTGGGGGTCAGGGAGCGATTTTCTATGTACTTCTGTTTTTAATGACTGTTTTCATCTGTCCCATGCCAAAGTTGTATCATTCATGCCAAACTTCTGAAGACATCACCAGTCGAGTTTAATTCATTCAACTGTGTCCTCCTGTGGCTGCTTGCTGGCCAAAGTGAAGACTGTGTGCCGGCTACTTATGTTTCCAGTGATGGGCACCTAGAGGATCGGCTCCTCAGTGGGTCGTGTATTTATGCATTTGGAGTGAAGCCTTATTTGTATATAATGAGGTTTTTTTAAAAAAAAATGCTACTTAGAATACTATTTATTTTTCTAATGTATAGAATATATAAAATATATGGTTAGTATTTACTTTAAGACTAATTTTGAGATCAAAGCTTTCATAGTAAAATAATTTTTTAAAATGATAACATTCTTAATGGTCTCACAACTCAATTCTTAATTAAGAATGATGGCTACCCAAGGTCTGAGCGTGACAGAAATGTCTTTTCCATTGGCTAGTCCTTGTTGGCAGGGATGGTAAATACCTTCCCCTAAAGAGAAAGAGGAAAAGGATTTGAAGTGTAGCAGGAAGGCCTCAAGGTGGATGTTAGCGAGAACAGGGAGCCTGGCTGGACACTGGGGGGCATTAGTCAGCCTGTGACTAATGCCTGAGATAAAAAATGAGTGTGATTGCCTGAGATAAAAAATGAGTGACAAACAAGACAGGTAGAATGTGATTTCTCTACTGTGATGACGGCCCGCTGGGTTCATACTGAGGTCCTGCTCCATAAAGCCAAGGGAAGTCCAGGCTCTTATATCTTGAACCTCCCATCATGGAACGTCTCCTTTCTCCTTCCAACCTAAGAAGTCTCCCACCAGATCCCTTCCCAACGAGAGAAAGGGAAAGGCTTTCCCCTTTAAGAACATGCCCAAGAAGTCGCCGAGCTTCTATCGGCTGGAAATTAGTCACATGGCCACATAGGAAGCCAGAATCATTGTCTTTATTCAGGGTGCCAGGGGTCCAGCTAAAATTCCCATTCGTGTTTATATCAAAGGACATAGGGTGTCACCATCTGTTTACAGGAATGTAATCTAGAAGTTGATTCTTAAATTGAATAAAAATTGAAGTTTGGATGATACATTTCTCTGACTTTATTTCTAATCTTAGTGCTAAAACATTATAAAATGAGGGGAAATCTCTAAGGGGCTTTCGGAATGGTGGAAAGTGGCTGCTTTGGGTCTCCATGAAGGAGCCTGAAAGAACAGGTGGCCCCAGGGGAGGGATTTGGTATGCTCCTCCTTGACTTGTCCACATGGCAGAGGAGAGGACTGGCATTAAAAACATGGCCTGAAGGTAACGCATAGTCTTGATGACTTCTGCGGGTCTGGTCTGACTGCGGTTCCAACAGCCCCCCTTCATCAAGGAGTCAGGGTGGGGTCCACACACCCTCCTTTGACTTCAAATCAGCGGAAGCATTGAACTCCGCGGCAGGATGAGTATCAAGTGGACACTAGAATGGCCATAGTTATCAAACATGGCGTTTCTTAGTTTCCATCTCGGTGCTCAGCGCAAACCTGGGTCCTCTGCCATGTCAGTTCTACGAGGGCAGAGTTTTATCTAACTTACTACTGTAGCCCTAGAATCTAGAACATATGTTGGAACATCAACAAAACCAAACCCTGAAGAAAGCTGATGGTGCCTGGCTATCAAGAGATATAACATCTGGGATCTTAAAGGCTTGAAGGTAAACGAGGCCATCTAGCTCAGAAGCAACAAAGCCCACATGGAAGGAGCACACCAGCCTGTGTGATCATAAGGTGCTGAAGGGATCAGTTATCAGGCATCAAA